AATTATTTATTTATTTTGCATTTTTAGTACAGGGCCTAAAGAGTCTCACTACACAGATCGGACTTAATGTGATTTTCACGTATTCAGCCTCCCAAGTGCTGGGATTACAAGTGTGCACCACCACGCCTAATCTCAATCACTGTCTCAGCACATCCCATGGGCGGGGCTGGCACTGCAGGCAAAGGATCGAACCCTGAGAGTCTACTGAGCTATCTGGCAGGCTCTATATATCTTTTTAGATGAGGTACCTAAAGCCTTTGGCCCATTTTCTAATTCAGTTGCTTTTTGTTATTAATTTTTTCTCAGACAGGGTTTCACTATATAGCCCAGGCTGCCTTGAACTTGGGAGAATCTTGCCTCAAGCCTTCTGATTGCTGAGATTATAGTTGTGTGAACACATCCAGGTTACCAATGAATTTTAAGAGTTCTTTTTATATTTTGGGACTCTGAGGAGATTTTTACTCTTCCAGTTTTTAAAGTCACCATGTATCATCAAAGCAAATGATAGATGCTTGTTTGCACTGTTGAAAAAAATGAGAATAAATGTTAAGCTGCTTAGCATGGGTCTGGGCACATATTATATGGTTAATAATGTTAAGTGGGTTTAAATATTTTATATTAAGCTATATGTCTTAATGCGTTTAGTATAATCCTCTGCCTATATCGTATTACCTTTGTTCCCAGATGTCGGTGTTTAAGGTTGCTAAAGTGAATGGAAGGAAAGATTTATTGTGAGATAGAAGGCCAGGCTGGGAAAGGAAGGCAGGAAGTTGATCAGCAGTCTGAGTTTTGGCCTATAAACAGTGAGGAGGGGGCCGGGGAGATGGCTCAGTGGAATAAGCGCTTCCCTGGCAAGCGCAAGGGCCTGAGTTCACTCCCCAGTTCCACCAACCCGCCCCCTCAAACAGCGAGGAGCCATTTAGAAGAATTAACCAAAGCAGCGATCCAGGCTTTAGAAAGATCATTTTATTGTCCCACATCGAAGCAGCAAAGGACCAGAACCACTGAGAGCAGAGATGAGTCCGAGGTCCTTCAGTTCTAAGAACTGACACCAAAACAGCATTCTGGTCAAGCATGTTGTGCTTGCACCTTCTAGAGGAGGTTATGGAACGGTCAAAAGCATGTGCTACAGAGGGGCTTAAGAAGCCTTGAGGCAGGCATGCACACACACATGCACATGCATACACGTGCACACACGCGTGCATACACACACACTCTCAACTAACATTCCTCGCTGTTATAAAGGTACACATGTCCCCTAGACCTACTTTTAGTTTTCTTAACGTTTTTGATCTGCTCTTACATTGGCCAGTTTAAAAATCCCTAGATGCTAAGCCCAGTTGCACAGATGTCGAACATGAGTGACCTGCATTAGACCACAAGGAGGTTCTGATTACAATCATCTGGGTAGGAAACCATGAGGAAAGAAACAAATGCAGTTGCTTAGCAGTAGGCATAGAAGGAAGAGTGAGGATATAGTTCAGTGGTAGGGCATTGCCCAGCAGTGTGAAAGATCCGGGGTTTGAGCCTCAGCACTGCAAGTCAACACCCACACCCACACCCACTGGGTTTAGAGAAAAGGCAGGATTCTTTTTATTTTTGTGGTACCAGAAATGGAAGGTGGGGCCTTGCACTTGCCAGGAAGGCGCTTATGCCACTGGCTATCTCCCTGGCCCAAGGCAGGAGGATTCTTGAATGTGAGACTTGAGAGAATGAAAGAGAAGGACTCTCACTTTTTCTTGCCTTTATGTTCCAGAGAGAGGAGTTTTGAAAACAGGCAGAGGGTAGTTTGGGGGACTGCCATGGGAAGTTGAAAAAGAAAATTTCCTTCAGGTATTTTGAAGTAAACACTGCCAGACATCAAAGCAGCACTCTTCAGGGAGTTAAAAGCTCAAACTCAGAGCTCAGGGGAGGTTAGAAGTGTTCATTAAGAACTGAATTTCTTAGAGGAAACAAACCAAATTTCAAGTCAGATGTGCTAGTGCACACCTGTGATCTTAGTACAGTGGGGGACTAAGGAAGGGGGACTACAGGTTACCTGGCACGTGTGAAGACTGGGCCGAAACTGAGAAAACATCAACTGAGGGGCAAGAAGATAATGGCTCCTTGATCAGCAGCAACACGGTCCGAGTCGGAGAGAGTGTAGCTTCTCCATATGGTGGAGAGAAACCTGAGGAGACGGTGTGGGGTCAGCTAAGTCAAGAGGCCTGGCACTTGGCAATCAGGTCTTCCCTGCGCTTGGAGGTTGTTTCCTGTGGTGCTGGGGAGGGGTCCAAGTCTATGTCCGAAGGAAGGAGCGGTAGGAAGAGGGGAATGAAGTGATACTGAGATCGAGGGGAGGAGGCTGGAGAGTGTCTCTGCATCCGTGGCTTAAGTGGCACCTTAAGGGAACCGAGGACTGACTTTGTAACTACTACAACTATGGAAAATTCCCAAGTATTTTGGAATGAAATAATTTCTCGTGTAAATTATCCCCCCTCGTTATGCTTGATAAAAATGACCTGAAACAGTGGCCGTGAACCTATAGCATGTGTGTTGTTTGCAAGATAAAGGATGTTAATGTACGCACGAGTACTTTTTTCTCAACCGAATCCTCGGTTTTAGTTTAATTGCAGTGTTGGTGTTGTGGGCTAAGTAGGTGGGTTTTGGGTTGCAGTTGAGGCATCTAAGCGGTCCTTTATAACCTGGTGTTTTTTTTTTCCCCCTCTTTCTTTCCTCCCTTCCCTCTTTTTTTCTTTCTTCTTTCTGGAATCAAGCTCTGGGTGCTGGCTTCGCATTTCTGTAGCCTAGTTTCTCACTTTTCCTCTCCAAGTAAGAACTTTTTCTGTTTTTCAAGTATCTCCGGCTGTGCTCGGTGCCAGAGCTTGGAGCCTTCATGTCTCTTACAGGTCCTTGTTAGTTTGATGAGTCTCTGTCTTCCTAAAGTCAAAAGCGCGCTGTAAAAGCTTTCCGGGGCAGGGGCCGATGCTGACATTCCCTTCTCCAGTCCTCACTGTACGCATGCCTGTCACTTAGCTCAGCGCTGCACCGATGGTCTGTACTGAGTAGATGCTGACTGATCCACTAACGACTGCAAAGCTTCACACTGCGTCCATTTTTCTTCCACCTAAGTGTATAATGTAGCACACTTAGCATTTGTTCCTGTCACGCAACACTTCGGTGATGTTGTTAAAACACAAGAAGACATTTAAAATACTTAAAGCTTGTGAAATAAAACATTCTGATATCATTTCATTGTAATGTTCCATTTCTTTTAGAGTAAATTCAACATTTAGAATAAATGTTGGATTTGGGCTGTTTTCTTTTTTTCTTCAGCTCTTCCTTTCAGAGAGCAGGGAGGGTTTCCTTTTAAAACCTGAATGACTACTTTCAAAGCAGTTAAGGTTTCTGGGCTGCAACAATCAAACAGGTTTTAGTCTCAATTTGTATTCGCATTTTTGACCGTTGTTGGTTCTCCGGAGGGAGAGATCTGGGGAAACATGACCCTTGCACCTGGATTCAGGCTGACGCCAACCAAGACCGAGCTTGGCATAAAAGGCTCATTTTATATGAACACCTTTTTGGGGTGGTGGCTGTAGTGAAAATAAACTCCGTAATTAAAATCCTGCCAATTTGCATTGTTCTCTGGGGAACAGGCTTTCGAAAGCCGAGCAACCAGAGGATTTGGTTTTCCAGTCTCCCCAAGGCAGCGGCAGACGGTGAAGCAGTTACGCCGCCGAGAAGCCAGAGTACCGCATAAATTATAGCGAGAAGGCTTGGTGTTTGGGTGGACGAGAGAGAGATGAGAATGACAGAAAAGACGAGCGAGCAGAGGAAGCGCAGGCTGCGGCTGGAAAGTCCTTTTGGCCAAAGGTCTGGTTATAGCACACGTATAATCAAAGGCGCCCCTTCCAACCCTGCTCGCACCCCAAGCTGGGATCGTTATGGGCTGAGAAGGGACAAGAAGCCCTGTGCCGGCGGAGAGCTGTCCCGAGGGAAGCAGCCACCCGCACAGAAGTCAAAGTCTGAGAATTTCCAAAGGGCTCCAGCGCCCCCACCGCCCCTGCGCGCGCACGCACATCCGGGGCTTTCTCTCGGGCCTACGAACCAGCCCGCAAGCTAGTTTAGAACGCAAGAGCTGCGATTTGCCCGCCTGGGATTTTCATTCAGCAGGAAGAGGCTGCAAGGCCGCGCCGCCATCGACTCCGCGCCGCCGAGGCGGGGCGCGCGGGGGGAGGGGCGGGCGCCGTTCCCCAGCAACGGCGCATGCGCCCGCTGGCCCTCGGCCG